GAAGGGGAAAAAAAAAAAGTTTCAAGAGTTCCAAAAGCCACATGGACGCAAAAATTAAAGATAAAACATTCTGTAAATAATCAACACAACCTTATCTGCGAACATACCAATATATGAGAGAAAAGTGAAAAAAAATTAGGTTCCTTTCCAATCTTTGCAAAAAATAAACATTCAATCTGGGCATGAGGTGGCATAGTCTCCCTCTATAACCTAAATCCAGTAAAATTATTTAGCTCATACTGTATTTTCCCACTAAATACCATAATTTTTCAAAAGAACGTCATAGGTAATTTAGCAAAATATATAATTGCATTCATAGCTTACATAAGTCAATCTGATATCCAAAAAAGTATCAAAGTATCATATTAAGCTATGGAAGCTTAATATGTAAACATGAATTAAATCTTAACAATATACCATCTCACAAAGAATGAAAGGGGTGAAAAAAAAAGGGGGGGGTAAAACTTGGAAGACAGGAAAAATTTCTTTTAAAGCTAACAATCATGCTATTTACATTTAACTATTAATATCATGTATTTATATCATGCCTGGAGGTAAAACCTTGAAAGAAAAGCTAGTCCTTATGGCCAACAATAAAACAGTAATAACAGTAGTAATAATGATCCATTAGAACATCTAACGCAACAGTTTCTCAAAAACAATGTTCAAATTTTAATTGCCAGAAAAATCATGAAAATATCTTTAAATCATCTGTGGCAAATTTTTGAAGCATTGAGGATCTAATGATTAGCAAAATAAAAATGTTTACAAGTAGTTGTACAATGTGAGTTTGGCTTTTCAGAATGAGGAGAGTGATACTGAAATAAAAATTAATTTATCTAACTATGCCTGCATGTTCTGCCACTGTCGTCATAATGGCTTCTTTGGGCGTAATACAGATCTTGGAGAAATTGCTCTAACACACAGCTGATTTTCTTTACAATTGAGAGGCATGCTGCTAATACATAAATCGTACAACTCAATCTAATAGCTTCAAAGAAATACTACTTCACTGAGCATTTGTAGGTATGACATGTAGTCTATACATATAAATTTAAAAGCTAGTGGCAATCAGCAAATTATCATTTCATGAAGAGTAAACAGTATCATCTACAGTAGAAAATGAAAATATTTGATTAATTGTTTGAAATGACCAACAACTTTGCAAAACCCATAATCAGATAGTCAAACAAGAGAAGAGACATGCAGCTAAAGTCAAAAAAACTTCGTGAGGTTATAATTTAACGACATACAAAAGGAAATTAACTTATTTCTACTAAAGTGGACATAAACACTGCAATCATTATTTTTCTCACAAATTGTTTTTGGTACTATATCCTCTATAAAAAGATGCCCTGGTGACACAGCAGTTAAAGCACTCAGTTGCCAACTAAAAGGTCAGCAGTTCAAACCCATCAGCTATTCTGGGGGAGAAAGATGTGGCAGTCTGCTTCCCTAAAGACCTACAGCCTTGGAAACCTTATGGGACAGTTCTACTCTGTCTTATAGAGTAGCAATGAGTCAGAAATCTACTCCAAGGCAATTGGTTGGGTTTAGTTTTGGGGTCGTCTATAAAAAGCATCTGTGTACTCACCTGTCCTAGTTCTGTTAGTTGTAAACAACAACCATGCTGTATGCTTACAGTTCTAAACCACTTTACTAAAAATATTATTCTTACATCACCTGCAAAATTGCATTTGTGCACTGTTCCTACAAATGTGTCAAAAATATCCATCAAATTTTCAAGAGATAACTTGGGTTATCCATGAGAAGAAAGATGTGGTAGGCTCCCGGATTAAGGTGACTTCACATCTAGTTTTTTGTTTTCATGAGCCTACTTAACCCAGAAAACTTGCATTGACCATATTTTTACACTGGTAAATACATGTGTCAACTCAAGCTGTCGAAGTGGAACGCAGTCAATACCGAGTATCTCTAAAACCCAAGTGTCCAAAGTCTTTGTTTCCAGATTTTTTAAATTTAAGGGTAATACATTACATCTTTAAGATCTAAAACTTGTTTGATAATTAAAATAAACTAATTTAAGAAGAACAACAAAAAAAACCCTACATTATCAGAAGAAATACACATGTAATCTTTATTTCCAGGATCACTTCTTTCCATTACTTCTCCCAGTTCTTTGGGCACATCAGTGACTGCTCCCTCCAACCCAGAATCTTAAGATTCACTGTCCAAAAACGAGAGCCTTAAAACCCAATTACACTACTCTATGATCTTTGTAAAACACGCGTGAAAATGCCAAAGCCCTAAGTTAGATCCCCAAAGGCTCCTTTTCTTTTTTGACCACGTTTTTTCATTTTCAATGCCTCCCTCAACCCTGTAGGCCAGATGACTTCCTACCAAATAGCCCCTTGCCTCTCCAGTCAAACCTAAATTCTGCCCTCCACTGCTATCACCCTCGCCCCGGTGAGGTATATGCACCACCCGGCGCGTCGTCAGTCCCAACCCCGTTCCCTCTTCCTCGCCATGTGGTAACACCCACCTGGCCCTGCTCCTCGGAACCCTCACGCCCACTGCCAAGCCCCGGAACAGCTCTTCGATCTTCTCCCCCCTCTATCCTGCCGTCAGACGCCTCCATCATCTTGCCTCTTCAAGGCCACAAATGCATCAATCTTCCACTTCCTCTCGCCCCTCAGCCTCTACTTAACGTATAACTACAGCCACCGGTCTTCGTCATCCCCTTAGGCTCTTCGGCTCCACAACCTCCATTTCCCTCAGATTCCATTCTACAGCGGACTCTAGAGGCTCCCTCAACCGTCTCCCCGTGGCCCCTCAGGATCCCAGTCCCTCAGTAGCCCCCAGTGCCATCCCTGACTATCCTCCACTCACCCTTTGCTGCGGACGCCCCCGCAAATTCCCCTCTCCTCAGCTCCTACACACCTCTGTGGTGGGTCTCCGGCTCCCCAGACCCACCTCCGTGTCGGCGCCCGAGCCGCCGTCAGAGCCCCGCGTCCTCCGGGCCTCGCCGGAGTAAAGCTCCTCCAGTGGTGGGGGCGGAGCCCGGGGCGGAGAGCTGGAATGGAGGCGGGGGCGGTGGCGGCTGCGCGCAGGCATATTTTCGGCCCCCGTCTCAGACTCACCCGCAGCAGCAGCAGGAACCCAAACCGGAACCGCTTTGAGAGGCGGGGCCCTACCGGGGGAGGCGGGGTCTTACCGGCAGAGGGGTGGAGCCAAAACCGGAAGAGACGCGGGGCTCAAGATACACCGGACAACGGAAAAGGAAAACCGTAGAGGGAGTGCTGAGAGTGCATGCGTCAAGCCCAAGGCCAAAGTGGAAGGAGGGAAGAGGAGGAGTTAGTGGAGATGGGCGGGGCCTATTGGATTAATTGTTACCATTTATGGCTCATTTAGTCTGACCCTATACTAAAGGCTATATAAAATCTTATTTAACCTTTGTGACAATCCTAAAACCAGTTGCCACTGAGTTGATTCCAACTCACGACTACCCCATGAGTGCCGGTAGAACTGTGGTTCATATGGTTTGTGGCTGATTTTTCAGAAGAAGATCTCCAGGCCTTTCTTCCAAGGCATCTGGTTAGCAGTTTAGTGTGTTAATTGCCTGCACCATCCAGGAACTCCTATGACAACTCTATAAGGTAAATATTATGACACAGAGGAGCCAAGAAACTTGCTTGAAGTGCTGCAGTTAATAGGTGCCAGAGCACCTATTCAAACCCAAATCTGTGTAACTTTGCTTCTCATCTCACCATACAACCCTGAGGGAAAGTCTTCCTCCTAACACAGGCCTCAAGTTGGCATAAACCAAATCTAAAGCCAGCTCTGTCCTGGGATCCAGACCCACCTTGGCCCTGCTTCCTCACACGTTGCACGATAACCTTAGTAGGTCTGGACATGAGTGCAGACTGTTTCCATGGCATGCTCGGTGTGGCCTTCCCGCCAAGCCGCACTTAAGGGAAGGCGCAGATGGGAGCCCTTCCCATTGTAGCTCAAATCTCTAAATCTCTCTCAGCTCAGTCACCACCTTCATGAAGTCAATGGGGAGAGGGCAAGATATCTCACCTCTTCTTCTGAAAACCAGCCCTGGCAGAAGGAGAGAGACTTCTCTCAGTTCCTACTCTGAAGCCAAAAGTCCTTTTAGGTGTAGAAGTCTCCCTTCCACCCATCTAAATGTTTCTGCTGATAGTTAAGCCCTTTGGCTCTTCAGAACGTTTAGGCCATGTTCACCACCTTCTACCCCTTTGACAGAGAAGGCCCTTTTCAGCCTTCTCTTTTGAGAAATCAGCCAACTTCACTACAAGGCCATTAGTCCAAAAAAAAAAAAAAACTTGCGGGCACCCCTAGCACAAAGATCCTCTATGCCACCTCTCCACATTTCTCAGAAACTTCCCCTGTGCCCCCCAATTCAGACAGAAGACTGCCACCCAGTTTGTGGCCCATTCAGACATGCAGAGCTTTTTTCACAATTCACCTGTGGAGCCAGCCACCTCTTCTCCACCCTGGATCTCTACTTTAACTCACGCCCCAGAATCAGATAGTCTTAAGCAACTGATTAATTCAACGAGTGTTTCTTAAACACCTACTATGTGTTTGACACCCACCAGCCACTCCTCGGAAGGAAGATGGGGCAATCTACTTCCGTAGTGATACCGCCTCGGAAACCCAAGGAGGGGTCGCTATGAGTCGGGTCCGACTCCACGGCACATAACAACAACAACATGTGTTTGACACAGCATATCCTTTGTTTCATTTCTTTCACACTACAGTTCTCTGAGATGGGTGTAACTATCCTTTACAGATTAGGACACTGAGATTGAGAGAGGTGGAGTGACTCCCAGACTTTCATGTTCTCATGATGTCTGGGGACAGTGGGAAGGCAAAGTTTCTATCCTCTCTGGAGGCCCCTATGACTTGCTGAGTCACTGTCCTGCCCCACCTGTCCCTGCCAATCTCTGGAAGGAGAAATGACACTGGAGAGGTATAAAGGAGTGATTGCAGAGGCAGAGGTGGTGGGCTGGTCCATGGCTGAGGCCTCGCTCCCAGAGCTGGGGGAAGACACCAAAGCCACACCTTGCTCCAGTGTCCTGGAGCTGGAGGAGCTCTTGAGGGAGGGGAAAGTCTCTTGCAGTCGAGTAGATGAAGTCTGGCCCAACCTTTTCATAGGAGATGCGTGAGTGAAAGCTGGTGGAGGGGGTGAGGAAAAGGAGAGCAGTTCTTGTTTCTTTAAGCAGAGATGGGGGTGGGGTGGGAATTAAGAGAAACAGGCTCTAAGCAACCTAGGTCAGGGACTTTCTCCAGGACCCCCTGTGCTGCAGACAGCTCAAGTAACCACGTGCAAGTGACCAGGGTAGGGTGTGGGGGACTTTGCCTGCCTGAAGGGGGGATGCTTTCCAGGGACCCCTGAAGTCTGCTGGTATATCCAGAACAATTGAAGAGCCTAGCTGGCAGAAGCCTGGGGAATGGTGATTTGGGGTATGAAATGGGGTGGACAGAGAGTACCCCCTTCCTTGTTCTATTCTCCCTTATCTGGTCACAGAATGGGTAGAGAAGCCCGACTGAAGGTGAATCAGGGGAGGTATCACCTCTAAACATTCATAGGGTAGGTAATGAGGTGGTGGCCAGAAGAAGGGTATGTGAGTGGGAGGGGGATAAGCAAGGAGGGAGGAGCAGTTGGGTCCTAGGGCTGAAGCACCCTTTCTTTCCTGCCTTAGCCAAGGCAGGGGCAATCACCTCAGAAACCGAACAGGGTCTAAAGGTAACTTCCTGTACTACCAACCCTCCCACCAGAAAGGATTGGGGTGGGCCTGTGGGCTGCAGACCCCAGCTGGAGCTTGCTGGCTTCTGGCTCCCTTTGAAACCTAATGGCTCTGCCCCTCTGAAGCAGAGGTCCAGGCAAAGCCTCCTTCCTGGACCCCGTGGCCCAGCCAGCATCCAGCCCCTTTCCTGCCCTCCTCAGGGCCACGGCAAATAACCGCTTTGAGCTGTGGAAGCTGGGCATCACCCATGTGCTGAACGCTGCCCACGGAGGCCTCTACTGCCAGGGTGGTCCTGACTTCTACGGCAGCAGTGTGACCTACCTGGGGGTGCCAGCCCATGACCTCCCTGACTTCGACATCAGTGCCTACTTCACCTCCACAGCTGACTTCATCCACCGTGCCCTCAGCACTCCTGGGGGTAGGATTTGGGGTCCTTCTCCCAGATTCCATCTTGCTCAGTTGGGGGGGATACCCAGTTTCCCCTCAATCACCAGTGCCCTCCCATTCCTAGTTTTTAAAAAGGACAGTTATTTCTTTAAAAATCCTTTGCCTCCAATCAGTTAGAAGCCGCTCTGGGACTAGAAGCCAGGTCTCCCAAACAGCAAGAAAGTTCTTTCTATGCATCACTCAGCATTGGAAAATCCATTTGGTACCTAGATGTTTTGCCTCTGCTTTCAGATGGAAAAAAAATCTTCAAACACCTAAGGTACATCAAAAGACCATGGGGAAGGCTGGAGTTCATCCTAGGAGATAGCTAGCTATGCCTCTTGCTACACCCGACCCTGGGCAACCACTGCCCCTTTCTGAACTTCAGTTTCCTCACCTATGTGATGGGGATGACAAGATGATGGTTCATAGCACTTCCAACAGTCATCCTTTCATTCACCAGCTATTTATTTGGTATCTGCCATGTGCCAGGCCCTAAGCTACATACTGGGAATCTAGACTTAAGCAAGAGGGGGCCCCTGCCTCATGGTACTGTTACATGTCTGGTGAGAAGACAGTCAAATTGTGAAGTGTTATGAGTGGAACAGGAGGCAAAGGTGAAGAGTGGGGCACTCAATCCACTGGGAGGATCACAGAGGTGGAGAACCTTCCTCTACAGCAGTACTTCCTGGGCCACATGCAGGAATGATGAGCTGTTCTGTGATTTAGGAGATACTATGTGGTGGTCAGGGAAGCCCATGTGAGGAAGTAATGTTTCAGTTCAGACCTGAAGAATGACTAGAACTTAGTCAGAGCAAGAGCAAGGGAAAAGTTTTTCAGGTAGTTGGTATTTCAACTTAGCATGTGCTAAGACTGGAGGCCAGAAATTATGACAGCTTCAAGGAAATGAAAGCTACCCAGTGTTCCTACAGCTGAGAATTTGGGTAAGATCACCTGAGATGAGATGCGTGGTCAGCAGCGGAAGCTCTTGGAGGGCCTTGTAAGTCATGTGAGTCTGGCCCCCATCCCAAAACAGATATTGGTCTATCTATTTGACAGATCAGGAAACTGCGGCCCATAACAGTTGAGTGACTTGCCCAAGATCACAGACTATGTCCAAGGCAGACAAGGGAAAGGAACCTGGGTCTCCACCCAAGCCCTGGGAGGGCCTCCTGGGAGAGAAGGGTCTTTTACTAGGATGTCTTCTTCAGCCAAGGTCCTGGTGCACTGTGTGGTGGGTGTGAGCCGCTCTGCCACACTGGTCCTGGCCTACCTCATGCTGTACCAGCAGTTGCCCCTGCGCCAGGCAGTGATCACTGTACGGCAGCACCGATGGGTCTTCCCCAACCGAGGCTTCCTCCGCCAGCTCTGCCAGCTGGACCAGCAGTTGTATGGTGCAGGCCGGAGCTGAGGGGCCAGGTGAGGGCTGGACATGGGGTTGAGGGTTCAGGGGGCAAGGCTGGGTGCAGTCAGAAGTGAGAAGACAGGTAAAGGTCTAGGCAACAGCCAAGGCTACAGTTAGAAAAAAGGGGTCATGTGAGAGCTGGACAGGGCACATGGGCTGGGACCAATTCAGTAGCTGGTTGGCAAGGCTGGGTGTGGCTGGAAACAGGGGTTGTAAGATGCCAGGCCTACTCCCCAAAATGCTGGGCTCTTCTCACTGTGCTAAGATCTCACCAAGATTTCTGCAGGCCCTCCTCTCCCACAGCTCACCCAGATTCTTCAGACCCCAGAGTCAGTAGAAAGGAAAAGAGTCGAAAGTATAAAATTTAGGGGCTTTTGAGGCCCTCCTATCTTATCCTAAGCTTGGCCTGTCCTTCCTCCTCAGCTGAAAGGCTGTGGTAGCTCACCTGAATCTTACTGAGGTCAGTCCTGGCACCTGTGACTGGACTTTCCCCACACCTTTAGCAAGGCTATAACCTCCACATCTCCTTCCCCTCAGGTCCAGACCCAGCTATAGACTCAAGAAGAAAACTGGGCTGCAGCTATATTTCCAGGCTTGGCTAATTTTCATCCCAGCCATGAGATTCCCACAATGTGGATGGAGGGCAGGTTGCCTAATACGCTCCTGCCACCAGCCAGGATCTCTAGAGCCCACACAATGCAAGTGTTCTCCTAGCTCTCTCCTCTATTTTCATCATTCAGCACCTGGACTCTATCCACCTCCCAATTACTCTTCTTCTGACCTCAAAGATCTACAGAAGGAGTCTCCCAACACTCTTCCCTCTCTGGTTCTGGGGACCCTTTTAGGGCATAAAGGTCTTCCTGAATCCTATCTAGACTCTTCCCTGCTCCATTTACCCCCTGCTTTCTTGTTCTAGGAGCTCTGGTGGCATATTGCCTAAGGCATTTGACTGCTAACCAGAAGGCTGGTGGTTGAAACCCACCAGCCACTCCTCACAATCTACTTCTGTAAAGATACCACCTCAGAAACCCAAGAAGGGGGTTGCTCTGAGTCAGATTCAACTTGACGGCAGTGAGTTTTCTCGTTCTAGTAATGTAGTGGTTAAAACATCTGGCTGCTAAAACCAAAAGATCGGCAGTTTGAACCCACCAGCCACTCTGTGGGAAAAAGAAGAGTTAGTCTACTTCCATAAAGATTACAGCCTTGGAAACCCTATGGGGCAGTTCTACTCTGTCCTATAGGATCACTATGAATCAGAATTGACTCAATAGCTGTGGGTTTGGTTTTTCTTGTGCTGTGTTTAGGGCAGTTGGAACAATAATAGCCCATGGTCCTTAAAATGCACAAAGGAATAGAAACCCAATAACCCAACCCCTTCTGCTGGAGGCCTCAGTGTCCCCAATTGCCCAATAGAAGAAGGTGGGTTTCTCAGTTTGACTGTTGCTAGCTGCTGTCAAGTTCATCCCTGACTCATAGCAACCCCATGCACAATGGGATCAGACTGTTGTGTGATCCATAGGATTTTCATTGGTCAGTGTTTGGAATAGATCACCAGGCCTCTAGTCTGTCTTAGTCTGGAAGCTCCACTTAAAGGCTACCAGCCCACAAACATTCATCAAGGTGCTGGTTCAATTTCTCTTAAATCAGCCTTCTGTTTTCCTTTAGTGTAGTTGGGAGAAGGGAAAGGTGTCTCTTCCTGGGGTGGAGTGTCTATGGGCGCACCAGACTTGGCAGGGAAGTTGCAAAGTACCCACTGTCCATCTCCTGCCATTCCAGGTTCAGTCTGTCCTTGTCTGGCTCCAACAGCATGGCCTTCCCCACAACCATATCCTCCCTGAGGGCTATTAGCTGGGGGTGAGGCCTCTAGGCTGCTCTCTGCTTTCCCCACTCCACCTCCAGCTCTTGCTACCCATCCTGTAATCCTTGCCTCACTCTCTCATCAACCCTGTCTTATGCTGTGCACAACCAGCTGGCTCAGAGTGGCTGCCAGTTGGGGGTGGTGACTGGCTGGGGCTCCTCTGGACAGGGTAAACCAGGACCAGCCTAGGGCCTCCCAGAAATGAATCCCTCCCCCTTCCATGGGAGCTGTTTTTGTCTCTGAATGCGTGCTAGCTCAACCAAAGGGGAGGTACTTTAGTACTACTGAGTCCTTTCTACATGCTATCTGAGGATGAGCATTTTGGGAAGGGTGTTTAGGGCAGCATGTGATGGGAGAAAAATGGGTCGCAGCTGGGTTTGCGATTAGGCCTGGGGCTAAGCTGAGTTGGATATGTTTGCAGGGAACTCGGGTATGGGGGCCAGAGGGGGACATGAATTGCATGTTCCTAGCCTTCTGTCTCTCCTCTAGACAGGTTTCAGGAACCTGGCAGAGCAGATCTCTGATCTTGCCCAATCACCCCCTTCCTTGGGCTGGGAGCTTGAGACAGCCTGATATCTGACCTCAGCATCTTTGCCCTTGAGGCAGCTGACTTTAGGGAAGTCAGTGGGCAGAGCTACAGCACTGCACAATTCCTGGGGGTGCCATTCACCAAATGGTATATGTGACTGGAGGCCCTAGTCTGTACACAGTAGCCCTCAGGGTGGGGATTCTGCGATGATGATGCCATGGGAAGAGGTCATCTCTCTCCATGAACCTGGGCCCCACACCTGCCTTCTCATTGCTCCCCAGCACCTGCACCCACTTGACCTTACACAGGCCCAAAGCTGAAGCAAGTTTAGTGGCAGTTCTTGCCTGTGCCCTGATGAGTCCAAGCCAGCCTGGGCCTTGGTTTACCTGCCTATAACATGGAGCTCATCTCTCCCCCAGAGCTTGTCCTTACTTTCTGCCATGGGGCTCTGCCACTTTGCCATCTTGGCACTGGCCCTTCTGTTGCTGCTGCAGCCTCTGGGACAGGTGGATGCTTGGAAGATGGTAAGAGTCTGGTGAATGCCCTAAAGCTTTGTCTTCTGTCCTCTTCCTGCTGCCTGTACCCCTCTTAGCCACTGTCTTCACTTCCTATAGATGGGAGTGGGCTGTCCTCTCAGCCAACCCCTGAGGGTCCATGGCCAGGGACCTTGGGTTCCCCAGGGACCAGGGAAAGGAGAGGGAGGAGATTCTAAGTGTCCATGATAGCCCTTGGACACAAGCTGCCTCCCCCAGCTCTCCCCAGGGCTCAGGGAGCCCCGATTAGGGCTGGGCCCTAGCTCAATGGAGTTGATCAGACTTTAGAGACTCCAGTGTAGGTGTGGTTGTAGGTACGTCTCTCTATTGTTATGTGCCCTTGAGTCAGATCTGACTCATAGGGACCCCTCCTTGGGTTTCCAAGGTGGTATCACTACAGAAGTAGATTGCCCAACCTTCCTTCAGAGGAGTGGCTGGTGGGTTTGAATCGCCAGCATTCTGGAAATGTCAAGTGCCTTAGGTACTACGCCACCAGAGCTCTCTAAGTGTCCATTATTTGGCACTGAAAGTAAGGAGGAATGTCAAGGTATCGGATATGTGAGGATGGTCTTCAGGAGGTCAAGAGGGCTTTGTTGTTGTTGTTGTTGTTGTTGTTGTTATGTGCCCTCGAGTCAGACCCAACTCATAGAGACCCCGCCTTGGGTTTCTGAGGCAGTATCACTAAGGAAGTAGATTGCCCCATCTTCCTTCCGAGGAGTGGCTGGTGGGTTTGAACTGCCAGCCTTCTGGTTAGCAGTCAAGTGCCTTAGGCACTATGCTACCAGAGCTCCTTGTTATGTTATGTGCGTCGAGTCGGCCCCGACTCATAGTGACCCCTCCTTGGGTTTCCGAGGCAGTATCACTACGGAAGTAGGATTGCCCAACCTTCCTTCCGAGGAGTGGCTGGTGGGTTTGAACCGCCAGCCGTCTGGTTAGCAGGCAAGTGTCTTAGCCACTATGCTACCAGAGCTCCTAGTAGAACCAAATTCAAGGCCCCTCACTGACCTTAGTTAACTTTGGTAGGGACCTTGAAGACAATGTCTCTTGCCTCATGGGACAGTAGGCCTGGGCCAGTTCTGCTTTTAGGGGGAAGTAGGAGGGTAGGAGTATCCCTTGGACACCCAGCTTGTTATTGCAGGCCAGGGCTGGACCTCTAGCTCCAATACCAAGGCATGAAGTCCTGTACCCCACTTTTATTTTTGTCTGCCTGTCTGCCTGTGCTGCTTCCTCTCAGCCTGAGTCTCCCTCCTTTTAAGCCTGGGCCAATCCCATAATCCTGAGTCCCTAAATAAGGGCCCTTGGACCTGGGTTCTAATGTTGGAAATGCCACCAATGTGTTGTGGGATTTTGGCTAGTCTCCTCCCATCTCTGGCCATAGTGTCCTCATGCATAGAAAACTCTTAAAGCTTTAACTTTCTGGCTTTGTTCCACATCACCCTTGAAGGCCAAAGAGCTTTTAAAATGGTTTATTTGCTGTTCCTTCTCTCTCCCTCACTACAAACATACACACATATGCTGCCTGTACTCCCAGCAGGGCCTAGAAGGGAAGATGCCTGAGTGGGCTTGGCATTGACTATGCATGGGACCAGTGGATGAGTTGGGAGTGGCAGGGGGAGGTCAGAAAGGGGAGCACATCATGCTTTATAATTAAACTCAAATCAAAAAATAGAAACAGCATCAAGAGTGCAGAGACAGGCAGCTGGAAACCAGCAGCACAAACTGCTCATCAGAGAAGACCACAGCCTGGGTCAGATACCCCCACAGGTGGGTGAGTGCCTCTATCTCAGGGGGGGCCGCCAAGCATGCTGGGTAATGAGGGTCAGGACATCTGTGCCTGTGTCTGAGGTAGGGTGTGGGTGGAGAGAGCTGGGACACTATGGGATCAGGGATAAAGGCAAAGACAAAGCAAAGCAGAGTCACTAAGACCTGGATTTGAATCCTAGTTCCCATATGTTTTCACTATGTGACTCTGGGCATGTTGCTTAACCTCAGTAAGCCTCAGTTTCCTCATCTGTAAAATGGGGATAATAGTATCACCTATAGGAGCCATAGTGGTGCAATGGTTAAATGCATGGCTACTGACCAACAGGTTGGTGGTTCAAATCCACCCAGTGGCTTGATGGGAGAAAGACCTGTTGCTTCCATAAGAAAGATCTCCTAGGGAATTCTATGGTACATTTTTACTCTGCCATATTGGGTCACTATGAGTTGAAAATTGACTTGACAGCAGCTAACAACATCACTTATACCATAAGGGCACTGTGAGGATTTAATGAGAAAGTATAAACATCTACCTCTGTGCTGCTAAACGTATGTTCTTAATAAGTAGTGAGTATAATAATAATTATTGGTAAGTAGAGAAGGAAATGTCAAGAAACAAAATGAGGTAGGAGACTGAGCCTCACCTCTGCCCAGGATATGGCTGAGGCTTGGAAGAGTAGCAGTAATAGCAACAATGATAATAACAATAAGAGGCACCATTTATTGAGCCTCTCCCATGAGGCAGACCCTGTGGTAGGTGCTTTTCATTTATTATCTCACAGGCTTCTCACAGCAGCCCCACTGACAATACTGGCACATAAAAGACTATGCAGGTACCAAGTAACAGATCTGAGAATCCCACCAAGTCTGTTCACCTCCCAGGCCTGCCTCTACATGCAGGGGGTATGGGAGGGCATGGAGAGTGTGACTTCCTGTGAGAGGGCAGGAGACAGAGGTAAACAGAGAGCAACACAGAGAGGAGATAAAAAGACAGAAAACAAGTGTTAGAGCTTGCAAACTGCAGCAACACAAGAGCGGGAAAGCCACTGCCCACAGAGTCAGCTGCTTAGCTTACAGGAAAAGTGGCAAGGAGGAAAGAAGGAGTCCAGGGACAGAACTAGGGCTAGATGAGTGGGGAAAGAACCTGACTGGGCCCATTCTCCCCTCCCCTTCCCCTGATTTTGCTGATGCAATGTGGGAGGAACTGTCAGACTGGGCTCCCTGCAGTCCAGGTCTGGGGCATTAGAAACCAGGGAAGCCTGCTGTATGGACTCCCTTTCCCTGGCTATGTCTGGAGCTTCAAGGATGAGTCACTGGGCTGGCAGTTGGGCCTGATTCTGTTCAAGAAGGCAGCTAAACTCTAATGTGAGAGCAAATTGGTTGGGGGTATACCCACAAGCACCAGAAATGAGACCCTAGGTGGGACCTGGCAAGTTGTTACGTGCTGTCGAGTCCAACTCAGTGACCCAATATGACAAAGTACAACTGCCCCATAGGGTTTCCTAGGTTGTAATCTTTACTAGAGCAGATTACCAGTATTTTCTCCCCTGGAGCAGCTGGTGGGTTTGGATGTTGACCTTTTTGTTAGCAGTTGAGTGCTTAACCACTGTACTTAACCAAGCTTCCTTCAGAACCTGGCAAGGGGTACACTTAATCCAAGGAAAAGCCTCCATTCTCCAAAACTGGGCTAGGGTCTCTTAAGAGACTGCAGTTTGGAATGTGGTCTAGTATACTCCCTAATCCCTGACCTCTCAGCTGGCTTCTCTTTTTCTCAAGACCTCCAGGAGGAGCCTCCAGAGTCCAGCTTTATCTTAGTCTGAGCCAGGAAGCTGGCTGCTTGCTTCCAGACACAGCAGGGATGTGAGGCACCCACTGGCCACTTGGAGGCGACCTTACCCCACATCAGGCTCAAAGGCCAAGATCCCGCCAGCCTGTTCATAAAGTCCCATCTGGCTGGCTTGGGGCTCTTGCATGGTGGCTCCAGAACAGTGTATAAGTTTGGGTCCCCTCAAGCTTGGGGGCTTCCTTCACCCCAACACACATAATCGCTTTCTGCCCAGTAGCTATTGCTTACCCAGCCACTCTTGATAATGCTCAAAGTAAGGCATGGCCAGGATCTTTAGCCTGACAAAAGGAAACTGTGGCCCAGAGAGGAACACAAACTTACTAAAGAATGTATCACAGTAGAGTCAACCAGAGCCAGGCTCTTCTGCCTCCCTCTAAAGTTCTCTTCCCACCATTCCAGGTAGCCTCCCATCTTTAGTGGTCTATGGGGCCAAAATGAATGAAATTCCAGAGATGCCAAGCATGGAGAGGGACAAGGGGTTTGTTAAGGCCAGTTGCTTTAGCCCAGTGGCCTAGGTCTGCTCTCATGCCCCACCCCCCACGGGCTCCAAGGAGAGGACTGGAATTCTAACTGCTTCACAGCGTTTGTGTTCTGGGCGGAACCTGCTCCAACTCTGTTTTGCTCGCACACTGAGACCTGACATTGCCCACTCCCTCTTCCGGTCCCAGACCATGCCCTAGGTAGGTGGCAGGCCATTCTGCCTGCCCTGAGAAACCACAGTGGGGGATGAAGGGGAAAGCCGGCTCTTCACTTCCACCCTACCCACCAGCCACCCGCTGGGTGAGCTTGGCCAAGCCGGTGGCCTCCTGGGTGCCTGTTTCTCTTCCTGTTCCTGGCACCCCCTACACAAAAGAAAAGGCTCTCATCCCAATTTGCACCTTCCCTAGCTACTGGTTGAGGGGACCAGGGGCAGTTGGCCAAAATGGCCACTCTTTCCCATCACAGCACCAGAGTCAGGTGCTGGTGCCCCTGACACCCCAGCTCTGCAGGGTTCCGGATTCCCTCAGCCAGCTGACTCCTGACACAACCCACCTCACCCGGGGGAGGCCTGACCTGCAGCACTGGGGGTAAGGAGGAAAACCCTTGGGACTATAGACACACGTGTCACTCAGCAATGCCAGACTCCCTTGCAAAGACATATTTGGTTCTCAAAGACAGTAATGGAAAGACTTGGGGATGTGACTGAAGAAGCACAGAACTGGATTTAAAACCCAACCTTGCCACTTATTAGCTGGACATATGGTTTGAGGATCTAGTAAAAAAAAAAAAAAAAAAAATTCTCTCTGACCCTCAATTTCCTCCTGTGTAAAATGGAGACTAATACCTACCTCACAAGTTATGGAGAGATTCAATGTTGCTGTTTATGAGGCTCCAGGCATATAGAAAGCATTAGATCATTTTGTATGGAAATGCTGACAAAGTCAGCACCCTGAGCAGCCTGCCCTCCAAACACCTAGAACTGGAAGGGAAGGGAGGACCTGAGGGCCAACCCTGGAAGTAGAGGGGGAGGAAGCTTGAGATGAGCTGCCCAGGTTAGAGGCCAGGAACCCTTTGAGGGTCACAGGTATCTGAGGCCTCCATCCAAAGTCCCAAATGACCAGTAACTTAAAGGGCAGGCTCTGCCCAAACTGCTGCCACAAACAGGGAACTCCAAGGCCCCCTTGTTCAGAGTCTCTAACATCAGTGGCTCCAGCAAAAGGCAGACGTCTGCCCAGCTCCACAGAGGTGATGAGGGGTTGATTTCCTTGTTCCCTGGGGAGGTTCTAGATCTCAGCCCCAGCTGAGCTAGTTAATAACCTCATCTGAAATAGCTGAGGGCCCTAGCACAGCACCTTGGCAGACCTGCCCCCAGCCTGACCTACCCTTAGAGAGCCTGCCTCTACCACCACGGTTCCACTCTCTTCCAGGATGGATTCAATGCAAAAGCAGGACCTCCGGAGGCCTAAGATCCACGGGGCAGCCCGGGTTGCCCCCTACCAGCCCCCAACTCTTGCTTCACTGCAGCACCTGCTGTGGGCCCACCGGGCCCCTACGCTGACCCACGTCAATGAGGTCTGGCCCAACCTCTTCCTGGGAGATGCGTAAGTAAGGCCATGGGGAAGGGGGGACAAAAGCCTCTACCAGAGCCCTCCAGCCTTTGGGTGCACAGGTGGCACACTTCTTCACCTCCTACCCTCTCTTTCCACATGTTTATTTCCTTTATTATTAATGCTACTTTTAATTGTGAACTATAACACCCGTTAAAAATGTGCAAAGGGTATAAATGTACTGTTTCACCACTCAGGTCAAGAAATAGGACATTACTTGTGCCTCTGAAAACCCTTCTCACCAAAATCCTAACGGTTGAAATAATCATATCCTTGTTTTTCTCTATAGTTTATAAGACACATGTACTACAATGTCTCTAGGGCATACAATTAAGTCATTTTCTCTAAACGTGTTCTTGTAATTTGGAAAATAGGGATCAATAATATGGATTTTACAAAATGTCCTTAATATTTAGAAAATATAGATCAGTCACTCCTCATACACAGATAAAACCAATAATAAAATCCTTGCGAACTTTTAAAATACGAATACACACACTTTTTTTTTTACAAAAAATGACATAATTTTTTGTAATCTGCTTTATATAGAAATCATTTTTAGTGGAATTACACTACAGATTTTGCTTCATGACAGCACCTAACAATAACCACCACAGCAAGCACCATGTACCAACACCACCACATTTTAGTGGTTGCATAGTATTTCATCATACAGAGATATACCATACTATTATAGGATGTTTAGTGGTCCACATTTTTTTCTTTCTCTCAATTTCTCACTATCTTAAATATCACTAGATTCAGTGTACATATGTATGTATGTATGTATATATGTATGTATATATATCTGTGGCACATTTTGGATTCTTTGCTTAATTAAGTTCCTATAAGGAGAATTGCTGGAGCAACATATATACACATTTTCGGCTTTTGATTCATATGGCTAAACTGCCCTCCAGAAAAGTTGCCCAGAGTTAAAGGAAGTCTTAAACTCTAACTGGAGAAGTTCTTTCACCTCAGGGCAGTTCACAGGTTCCAGTTTCTACCCATGGAAGGGGATGGCAGAGGAGTGAGAGGAAGTAAGCTCCAACCCAGAGCCAGAGTTGACACAGTAAATCCTACTCTCATATTCCTCCTGTGCCCTCCCCTCTAGGTATGCAGCCCGGGACAAGAACAAACTGATCCAGCTGGGCATCACCCACATTGTGAACGCTGCTGCAGGCAAGTTTCAAGTGGACACAGGTGTCAAGTTCTACCGTGGAATGTCCTTGGAGTACTATGGCATTGAGGCTGATGATAACCCCTTCTTTGACCTCAGCGTCTACTTTCTGTCTGTTGCTCGTTACATCCGAACAGCCCTCAGTGTTCCCCATGGTGAGCTGCTGGGGAAGGCACTGGGGCAGGCATGGGAAGCTCCAGGCCACTCATCTTTCCAGTGGCACTGATGGGTAGGGTGTCCAGAGCCACACACCCCTTCAGCAACTCTCTCACCCCATGGGGAAAACAGCTAACATTTAGTGAGCATCTCCTTCAAGTGACTGCCTACGAAACCAGCAATCACAGACATAACTAAGGTCCAGTGTGGACATCAGTGTAACATATCCCTCAGTAAGAAGTCAAGCTGAAGGTAGAGGATCTAGCAAAAGGCTCTTCAGCCCACTCCTCTAAGAGGCCTTGGCACAGGGCTGCAGGGGCAGGAGAGAAGAGACGTGGGAGCGGGGGAGATAAGGTAGGTGGGCACCCCCTATAATCTGATGCAAACCTAGGTGATGCTGAGAGTACTGCGTAGGGTTGCGAAGGATGCGGTTTGGACCAGAAGGGAATACCAGCTGTTAACCTTAGACTTGTCACTAACTTGCTGTTTGACCTTGAGCCAGTCCCTTTATCTCCCTGGTCCTCAGTTGCTCCAGGATGCCGTGATGGATGGGCTGGAGAATGATGAACGGTGTCTCTGATTCCCAAAGGTGTGGGTGTGTGAGAGAGGAAACTGATGCCAGGTTGGTTTTCCCCACAGGCCGTGTGCTGGTACACTGTGCCATGGGGGTGAGCCGCTCTGCCACGCTTGTCCTGGCCTACCTCATGATCTGCGAGAACATGACACTGGTGGAAGCCATCAAGGCGGTGCAGGCCCACCGTGATATCTGCCCCAACTCAGGCTTCCTCCGGCAGCTTCAAGTTCTGGACAACCGACTGGGGCGGGAGACAGGGCGGCTCTAACCTGACAGGCAGCCAGGAGCCCTGACTCGCCAGCCAGCATGGCCCATCTCAACCAGCCTGGCCCTTGGGAACAGCAGCCTCCATTGTTTCCAATGGTCCTGAGATATAAATAGCAAATGGGGGCTTTGCAGAGGCAGAGGCAAAGGCAGGGATAGCTGGGTGGTGACCTTTAGTTGGTGGATTTCCCAGACCCAATCCAGAGATTCTTTATGCAAAAGAGAGTTCAGTCTGTCTCTATAATAAAGGGTTCATCATAACGACAGCAGATTTCATGGTGGTTTGTGGGGTGTGATGGCTTATCAACTCAGATTCAGCATGATGGTGGCCTAGAAAAGGTGAGTCTATGGCAGGGCTTAACAAGGAAGGAGGGCAGGTGGTAATCAGTGGGATCTGCCTTGAGTGTAACAGGGAAGAGCTGTGGCACAAGTGTTGAGAATTAATTGACCTTTTCCTTATTTTGTCCTCTTCATACCCTTACCCAAGAGTTAGGTTGTCTGAATAAAAACTAAAGTTCGGTGCTTCACTATCCTCTCCATGCCCAATCAATCGAATTAACACCTCTGCACAAATACCATCTCTTGGATCCAGTCAATTTTTCCACTTACATTCTACTGCCAAAAGAGGTGACTAAAATTACAGACACCTAAAAAATAGGAGCATTAAATAGGAGGATAGGTTGGGAGGAGATACTTATACCAGAAATCCCAGGCAAAGGATGGCTTTCTGAAGGAGCAAGATTTTGCTCTGAGCTTTTTAATTTTCATGATTTCACAAAATAAAACATAGAAAGCCTCCAGGTCTCTCATCTGTAAACTGTCTATATTCCAAGGCATTTTTGAGAACTGAATGGACTGTTTTCCTTCTACCTTTCTGGTTATTCCTACTTAGCCCTTGTCTTCTCTGGCTGGCCAGTAAGTATAGAGGTTTTTCAGGGCACTGTCCTCTGCTCTATGCCCCTGCTCTCCTGGGATCCTACTGCTCCCACAGCCTCAGTTTCCATCTGTAGGCTGATAACTCCCAAGCCAGTATGGCTGACCTAGTTCTCACTCCTGAGCTCAAAACTTCTGTACCCCACAAGCCACCTCCATTTGAATATTGTACTAGAACTTCACACTTAAATGGAACTTTCCCTCAATCCTCACCCAGACCCACTCCTTTTCCTAGTTCCCTATTTCAGTACAGAATTTCCACAGCTATCATTCTCTGAGTCACCCTGCCCTCCTGCCCCTCATCAAATTAGCCTAACAATTCTACTTCCTAAATACCACTCCAACCTGCTTATTTCACTTCATCTTTGTTGTGACCACCCACATTCAAGCCAGCCTCACCTCTAGCCTGGACCTTGCAACACCTGCCTCTAGCCTACAAAACCAAACTCACTGCTACAGAGTCAATTCCAACTCTAAGCAACCCCCATCGGGTTTCCAAGGCAGTAAATCTTTACGGAAGTAGACTGCCCCATCTCCCTTCTGTGGAGCAGCTGGTGGGTTCAAACTGCCAACCTTAGGCACTGCACCACCCTAGCTCCTTGCCTCCAGCCTAAGCTCCTGCAATTTCCAGGCAGATATCTTACTAAAATGAAAATCTGATTATGTCACCTTTCTGCTTAAAACCCTCTAAGTACAAACACCTTGACAAAGTATAAAATTGTGTCATTATCAGAGACAGACCTTCTCATCTCCAGCTATCTCTCTTGTAATTCCATTCCCATAGTCCTCAATTAAGAAATGGTAAACACACTGTTAGTTCCCAGAATGTACTCACTCACTTACCTGTGGTACTGCACATGCTGTTCCTTCATGTCAGAATACTTTGCCCCCATTCTCATCCCTCGTCATTTCTAACTCCAGCTTTTCCTTGAGATCATCACTTCTTCCAGGAAGCCCTCCTAGATCCCCCAAGCCTGAGATAAGTGTTCCTCCACTGGGCTACAAAAACATCCATCCTGCTCTTGTAATATCACCTATCACTCTGAGATGTAATTGCCTGATGCCTTATCAGTCATTCTCTTTCAGCTGATCGTCTCTGACTAGATCTTTCCCTGGGCTCAAAGGCACTGTGATAACTGGAGCTGTGTGTCAACTTGGCTGGACCACAATTCTGTGTGGTTTAAGCAGCTGTGATGTGGTTATTCCCATGATGGGATCATATTTGAATATATTTTGAGCCGCCAATCCATTGAAAGGGAGTTTTCCTAGGGGTGTGGTCTGCTTCCAGTGTATTTATGGACATCTTGGGAAAAGAGACACTCTTATGTGGATCAGGATTCTGTTGTGCTGCCTACAACTGTCTATGAGCGAACAATCCACCATTTGGCCTGGAGATCTTGGATTCATCATTTGTTGGAGTCAACAGCCAGTATACTGCCTGCCAACCTTGAGCTCCTCAGCCCCTGCAGCTGCGTGAGTTAGGAAAAGCCTCCAGCTTGACATTTGATCCAAGAACTTTGGATTTGCCAGCTTCTATAAGTGTGTGAGCCACTTTCCTAAGATAAATTTCTCTTTCTCTCTATATATAAGCTTTACTGGTTTGGTTTCTCTAGAGAACCCAGTCTAACACAGGCACCATGGCTGCCATACCCTCTGGCTGTGAACCCTCAGGTACAAACTACGGACCAGAGCCACAGCTTGGCACCACTGTCACTTGGCCCTCTCCATAGAGGCCTCAAGGGGGAGAGGATTCCAGGCTAGCCCCAGATGGTCTTGACTCCTGAGGGTCCCCTTTATTCTTCCCAGCTCTTCAGTTGTGCCACCTCCACACAGTCTCCCATGATCTGGGTCATCCTGACACCCTCTTCCTACTACATCTCATCTGTCTTGGGCCCTTTTGACCCATCAGTAGTGACCAAGGCTCCCTGGGGGAGGAGGACTTAAGGGACATTTGTCCTTACCTGACATCTGATCTACTTTCCAGAGGGTGAGTGTTTTACCTCTAGTTGCAGGCATCCACTGTGCAGGAACTAGCAGGTCAGGTTTCTGTTGAGCAGTCTCAGGAAGCTGTAGGACCTGGGACAAACATTTGAGAACCTGGTCTTTGAAGCGGAAACCCGATAGATCACACACACACCCATGTCCCCAATGACTCCCCTGACCTCTGATTCTCATTCTCAGGATCTTCCACCTAATGGGCCTCTGGAGACACATTACACCCCTAACCTCTCCTCATCAACAGCTAGCACAATTTCTATTATTAAAAAAAAAACAAGAAGTACAGAGATTTCCGGAATATAAGTCTTTGAGCGTCTTACAGTTGGCTAACTGCCCAGGTAGGCCTTAGGGCCAGGCCCATTAGTTAAGACAGTAGCAATAATACAGACCAGAGTTACTGAAGGCTTTATATTTAACTTCTCATAGCCCCAGAAACAGGGCTACACCTTTGTGCAAGTTAGAGAAAGGTGACCCCTTTGGATGAACCAGCCCTTTGGGCAAAATCACCCCTGGGCAACCAGCTTGATAAAGGAAAAAGTGTTCTTTCCTCCTAAGCAGAACACAGCCCAACCAGGGTGCCCAGTTTAGCCAATTGAGCACTGGCTGGGTTTCAGTCCCTAATCACCCCTTTCACAATTCATAAACTGAACAAATGTATGCTGTCTTGCCTGGGTGGTAGGGATCAAAATCCTTATTTCACAGATGAACAAACGGAGGTTCAGAAAAGATGTGGTGGGGTGAAATGCTACCTCCTGGCTCCAGGATCTCTGGGCTCTGGCCTCAAAGGGCAGGTACCACCTAGCCAGTTTCTCTGCTCACTCCCCTATAGCACCTGGTCCTAATCGCAGCTGTCTTTTGGCTGCTTCAGGTGCTCTCTGGACATTTTCCAGAGAATATGTATACTAGTGGGAGGATGGCTAAAGGGCTAGCCTGCTGTTCCCAGAAGCCTGGTCACGGGGTCCAGCCCCAATCAGGCAGGGCCCCTCTCTACCCTATGGATGGAAAGTTGTTTCTAATTTATCCAGAGAAGAGAAAGCCATTCCCAGATCAGTAGCCCAACTTGCCCATCCCCAATTCCCTTGGAGTCCCCCTTCACTTGACAATGGAAACTCAGCCCTTGTTGCTAATTCTTGCTCTGTACCGTCAGCAGGATCCAAAATAGTGGCTCCAGAAATCAGTCTCTAAATCATCAGCCTGTTCTATGATGCCAGGTGGTGGTAGGTCTCCTGAGGCTGGGACAGAGCTGTACCCTGGGCCTGCGGCTTGGATTTCAATAGATCACCTTCCTGGGGCTCCGTAAGTCAGGCTCAGAGTCTGAGGCTGCAGGTAAAGAGGATCAGGGAAGCCCTGAGGTGGCAAGTGGTTAAGAGAGCCAAACATTCGCCAAAGCACTGAAGGAAACAGGCTGATCTCCAGGCTGACATCTCTTCTAGGAGGCCTTCCTGCCTATAGCACCTTTTCCAGGATGGCTGTGATAACATGGCTGCTCTCCTTTTTCTCTACAGCAGCCTCATAAGAGGATGAGGGTATTGTTAAGAGCATGACTTTGGAGCCAGATTACATGGCTTCAAATCCTACCTCTGATCCACACCAGGTGTGTGACCTCAGTTAATCTCTTCATACCTGTGTTCCCTATCTGTGGCATGGGAGTTATAATAGCCAACATATAGGATAGTTATAAGGATTAAGTTGGTGTCATTGATTGAATTGTGTCCCTCTAAAGTATGAACTTGTGTGTTAACTTGGCTGGGCCATGATTCTCAGTGGTTTGGCAGTTATGTAATGATGTAATCATCCCCTATAAGGTGATCTGACGTGATCAACTAGTCAGTTGTCAGGGGATTAAGGTGGGATATAACACCCTTACTCAGGCCATAGGCCTGATCTGATGTAAGGGGAGATTCCCTGGGGTGTGCCCTGCATCTTACAAAAGATAAAAGGAGAGAAGTGAGTACAGGAGGGGCCTACTACCACCAAGAAAGAAGAGAAAGTGGAGCATGTCCTTTCAACCCAGGAAACCTGTGCTGGAAACCTAGATTCAGGGAAAGACTGATGCCAAGACACATGGAGAAC